TATCTGATAGATATTTTCATTCACTGGACCAAATTTGGCACAATTACCCATACACCCAAATTTGAATACTGGTGGGGTTGGAGGGGGGTTCATTTTTGTCATTTGGGAGTTGTAGTTGCTGGGATTTATAGTTCACCTACAATCAAAGAGCATTCTGAACTCCAATGATGGGACTGGACTAAACTTAGCACACAGAACTCCCATGACCAACAGAAAATACTGGAAGGAATTGGTGGGCACTGACTTGAGTTTGGGAGTTGTAGTTCACCTACATTCTGAGAGCAGTGTGGACTCAAACAATGATAGAACTGGACCAAACTTGGCACAGATACTCAATATGTCCAAATGTGAATACTGGTGGAGTTTGGGGAAAACCAGACTTTGACATTTGGGAGTTGTGGCTGCTGGGATTTATAGTTCACCTATAATCAAAGAGCATTCTGAACTTCACCAATGATAGAACCAGGCCCGTAGTCAGGATTTTGATTCAGGGGGTGCTGAGTTTGATTCGGGGGGTGCTGAGCTTGATTCGGGGGGGGGCTGAGGATCTACCCTAGCAAACCTTTTGTATCGTTATCCCAATAGCCCCATGCATATGAGATATATTGAACATGGTGATCAGATCATGATATGAATAAACATAACAGTTTAAATAATGTACCAGTAAAGCCTTTTCGCAGACCACCATGAGAATTTGGGGGGGGGGGGGGGCTGAAGGCCCTCAAGGTCCGTCCCCCCTGGCTACATGCCTGGATAAGACTGAACCAAACTTGGCACACAAAACCTCCATGACCAAGAGAAAATACTGGAAGGGTTTGGTGGGCATTGACCTTGAATTTGGGAGTTGTAGTTCACCTACATTCAGAGAGCACTGCGGACTCAAACAATGATAGAACTGGACCAAACTTGGCATGAATACTCATTATGCCCAAATGTGAATACTGGTGGAGTTGGGGGGGAAACAGACCTTGACATTTGAGAATTATGGCTGCTGGGATTTATAGTTCACCTATAATCAAAGAGCATTTTGAACTTCACCAATGATGGGATTGGACTAAACTTGGCACACAGAACTCCCACGACCACAAAAAATACTGGAAGGGTTTGGTGGGCATTGACCTTGAGTTTGGGAGTTATAGTTCACCTACATTCAGAGAGCACTGCGGACTCAAACAATGATAGAACTTAACCAAACTTGGCATGAATACTCATTATGCCCAAATGTGAATACTGGTGAGTTTGGGGGGAAACAGACCTTGACATTTGGGAGTTGTGGCTGCTGGGATTTATAGTTCACCTACAATCAAAGAGCATTCTGAACTTCACCAATGATAGGACTAAACCAAACTTGGCATACAGAACCCCCATGACCAACAGAAAATACTATGTTTGCTGATGGTCTTTGGTGACCCCTCTGACATCCCCTTGCGATCCTCCCAAGGGTCCTGACCCTGCCCGGTTGAAAAACACTGCCTTAGGCCTTTCTTTGATCCAAAGCCATCAGACATCAGCCAGAAGGGGATTAGTAGCCAAAAATGCTACAAGTGATAGAAGACACAGCCCTGTGCCCATTATAACCCTGCCCTTCCCTATCCCCCTTTCCTCTGCTCTTGGGAGCATCTACACTGTGGAATGAATGCAGTTTGACACAAGTTTGAGCTACCATGGCTCGAGGCTATGGAGTCCGAAGAGCTGTAGTTTGGCAGAAAAGGCGAAAGGCCTTGCAAAATGACAAACTGCACAATTCCATAGCAGCGAAAGTGGCATCAAACGGCACTGACGCTTCTCTTCTTTTCCACCTTCTGCAGGTAAAGAACTCAAGGTGCATCTACACTACAGAACAAATGCAGTGTGACACCGCTCGTACTGCCATGCAGTAAAAGTAAGAGTCAAACTGCATTCAATCTACAACAGACACAAGCAAACTTGGGCCCTCTAGTTGTTTTGGACTCCAACTCCCACAATTCCTAACAGCCTCAGGCTCCTTCCTTTTCCCCCTCACCTGCTTTGCCCCTTTTTGCAGCCCACCTCAAAGGCCCTGATCCAGTGACACCATTCTGCTCCAGACCTATAGATCTTGAAAGAAGGCCAGGAGTGGACCCTTGCTTCCAATGGCACGGCATTGCTTCTGATCCCAGTGGCAGAATGGGGCATTTTAAGGGGAGTGGGCTGGAAGCAAAGCATTGTTATCCTTATCATGACCGCCCTGGCTTTGCTTCAGATCCTAGTGGCAGAATGGGGTATTTTGTGGGGAAGAGAGGAGTGGGGTAGAATCGGAGCATCACTCATCACCATCATCATCATCATCACAACGTGGCTTTGCTTCTGATCCTAGGGGGACCTTTAAGGGGCAGAAGGGAGTCGGGTAGAATCAAAGCCTAGTGATGATGATGATTAATACAAATAATAAAATCATTGATAATAATAATAATAAATAAATAAATAAAAATAAACTATCAACGAGGATGGCCTACAAATAGCCTACTGAGGAAGGATGATGATGATGATGATGATGATTATAATAATAGCCTACCAATTAGGATGGCCTACAAATACCCTACTGAAGGATGATAATAATAATATATAATAATAATACTAGCCTACCTATGAGGGTGGCCTATGAATAGCCTACTGAGGAAGGATGATGATAATAATAATAATAATAATAATAGCCTACTAATGAGGATGGCCTACCAATAACCTACTGACAGATGATAATGTTAATGATAACAATAACAATAATAGTCTATCACTGAGGATACCCTACAAATAGCCTACTGAGGAAGGATGATAATAATAATATAATAATAATAGTCTACAAATGAGGAATGGCCTATGAATAGCCTATTGAGGAAGGACAACCATAATAATAATAATAATAATAATAATAATAGCCTACCAACAAGAGTGGCCTGTGAATAGCCTATTGAAGAAGGACGATAATAATAATAGCAATAATAATAATAATAATAAAATTATAATATTAATAGCCTACCAATGAGGAAACCCAATGAATAGCCTACTGAGGAAGGATGAAATAATAATAATAATAATAATAATAATAATAATAATAATAATAATAGCCTACCAATAGTCTACTGAGGAAGGGCGATAAT